GTCCAAGAACCATGGTACAGGGGGGGAATGCTTTCTCCAGTGCTTGGCCGCGGTGCAGGATGAACATCGGGAAGGCGATGGAGCCCAGCGTGGCCATCGGCTTGGAGCCGAAGAAGCGTGTGATGGCTGCCTGCAGTGTTCCGGATACCCGCTCCATTGAAAAGCAATCTAGAGTCTGCACTATGCTCATCCCTGCTGGTGCAGATGCAGTTGCCGGATTCGCAGAGAGCGCATCCCTGTGCATCTGTGTCAGGAACTTCGTGAAGATCGGGACAAAGATCAAGCCGCGAATGATGGCATCCTCGCGGCTGAGCCCAGCTGCCCACGAGTTTTGCAGGGAGCTCGCCCGACAGCCGACAGCAGAGCATATCTGAGGACCGCACGTTGAAGTCGAACTTGGTCAAACGCAGACCCAGGGAAGCGTAAGCCGCCAGGAAGAGCCACAGGGGGTTCCTTGGGTCAGGACGGGTTCTCTCATGATGGATTTGTGTGACGGACTTGACTTGAGCTCCAGCGGCGTGGTCGGCTTCTTCTTGTCCTCCTCCGTGTCCAGCATGACGTGCCTGGCAGCGACGATGCCCATCGTCATCTCGATCAGCGCCCAGAAGGGGTGGAAGCGGGTCAGGTTCCAGATCAGAGGGTGCATCACCTGTCCGTTGACCTTAGGCCATCTTGGGGTGCCGCAAGAGCGCAACTGCGCGAAGGCAGCTTGCATCCGCAGTCTCAGCCAAGGCGCTGGATGCTCCTTGCTGCTGTGGAAGCGGGCCGTCTCCGAGTAAGAGACCTGCCGCGCACGAGCTGGTGCCAGGGCTGCGGCTTCTCAAAGCTGGAAGCCTTCTGCAGGAGCGAAATGCCCGTCAAAGCAGCGAAGAGCTTCTGAAGGCCTTGCCACTGCCATGTACTGTCATTGCACCGACGCCCACAACACGCCCTGCAAAAATCCTCCTTCCGAAATCGTCCGAGGGGCCGTTCTTGGACAGCTGCGCAACCTGCGGCAGCACCAGCGTCGGCATGGTGAGGTTCGAGAACGTCAGGGCCGACAAGAACCTGCTCGTGGCAGGAGTTGACCTCAAGAAACCTGTCACCCCCTTCGCTGGGTCCGGAACCAGGTGGGCTGATTCCAGATCTCTGCTTCCTTGGGGAACCAAGCCTGGCCAAAAAAGCACTGCAACGTCTCCCGGCGCAGCTTTGCAACTTGCACGGCTGCCTGCAGCATGCTGAAGTTCAGGAAGGCACGGAAGGCGGTCGTGGTCCAGGGAGTGTTGTACCACCTCAGACTGCCCCGGCCCCAGCCACAAGAACCACAAGATGCGGACGCTTCTTGCCCAGCCTCTCAACCTGGATGAACATCGGGGCGAAGAGGCAGGAAATCACGAAGTGCAAAGGATAGTAGGCCATCACCTTTCTTGCGCAAGGCTTCGCGCTCTTGGCTCTTGCTCTCTGCCATGGCACTTGCTCAGAGGTCGACCCTCTGCCAGAAGAAGAGCTCTGGGTTGGCCAGCTTCTTGTCCTCTGCCTTCCGCTCGCCTAGCTTCGTGGAGGTGTAGGCAGACACCTCGGTCGCAAAACGACGTCTCAGAGAGCGTCTGCTGTCGCGATTGTTAGGCCCGCGGCATATCCTGAGATGACGAAGAAGCCTCCTACGAGCACGTTCTCCTGCGTCAGCAGCTTCAGCGCCGTCAGATTGCTGGTGCCAAACCTGACCCCAATGCAGCAAGGAGCGCAGACTGGCTTTTGAACAACTGCGTCTCCTTTGTATCTGCACGGTTCAAGCATGAGCAAGCGATCTGTCCAAGTCCGTCGCATCTGTGCCCCTGCCGCCTACCCCTGCGCACCTCGCAAAGTGCGCAATGACGATGGGGAAGACCAATGCGAAGCGGCAGCCGTCAATGCAGTCAATCCGAGGCTTCGAGACCTCCAAGGAAGACAATGCCCGATCTGCCGATCTGACTCCGACCACGACGTGACTGTGGCAATGCCGAAGACATGCGGCACTCTCTCTGAGACACACCGGTGCGCCTTCACCGGCTTGACTTCCTGCTTCGAGTCCGCAGGTGTGGCCATGGCCTTGGCATCAGCCTGACAGGAAAGACACAGCTTCAGACTTTGGAGCGTCCCCGGACACCCCTGCCGCATCCCCGAACACTCCACTCCCTGCCGCCAAGACACATCGGGTTTCTGCGTTGCGCTCATGTCGTCCGCCTGTGCTTTGTATGTGCCGCGCCGACGTGCTGTGGCATGCCTACTCCCACGCCATGCGTGCATCCGGCGGTCCAAGGCCCTGGCAGTGTTGCGGCGGCTTGGCTTGGGATAGCTCGGACGAAGGCTGTGAGCCCCAGAAGCAGCAACAGCGCACGAGAAGGGTGGCCCGGAGAACACATGGTCGGATCTTCTACAACTCGGAAGACTTCACATCATGACCGAAAACTGACACGATTACGATTGCGAGTGTGGCCAAGGCCACACAAATTGGAGCAAGCAACAATGCAGTGGTGCAGGTCTTTGCCGGAACTCACAGAACGTGCTTGGTCTGGAACCAGATGTTGCTCCAGGTATGCGGAATGAACTTGCTTGCCTGTACAAACTCCCGGTGTGAACCGGGGCCAAATGCGAGGCACGATTGATCCAAACTTGGCATCTGCCAAATCTTCGGAACGACATGGACCTACCTTTGTGCCGGTGCTGCCTTGCACGAGCATCAGTACGGCTTTGAGCCCCCTGTTCCTCGTGCTCAGCATTTCTCGCAGTGATTAAGAAATTTCAAACTTCAGAAACCTACTCACGATCGCGCAACATGCCCTCAGTCCAGCTCGCCAAAACTTGGGCCACCTTTCCGGCAATGGCGCCCACCTTCTTGTTCTTCACGAAGTATTCCTCAAAGCTCACACTAGAGCAAGGGTGTCTGTCAGAATTCGTGCTATGGCGGCTTGCTGTCGGACTGGTGCATCATCCTCTCGACCTAAATGTCTGTCAGACTCCGAGCATCGTTCGTGAGGTGGCTCATGCCAAGGCAGATGGCGAGATAAATCCTGCCCATGTCAACACGAATGTATCTCTCATCGAAGCCCATGCCCAGTTGCCACCCAGCTTGGCTGTTTGCGGCTTGGCAGCGGGAAGAATCTCGTGGACATGGGCCCGCCCCACAACTTTTTCGCGAGCACCTGCAACTGGGTCTGTGTCTGGTAACGCGCAACGCTAGTACAGTTGCACCTTCTTGTAGAAGATCTGGCCAATCGGTCCGTGCCTTGATACGAAGCAGCGTCAAGCACGGCTTGCAGCACAGGAACGGACAACGCAGAAACAAAGGCAAGATGCAGAATGAACATCGGGAAGGCGATGGAACCGAGGGTGGCCATCGGCTTGGAGCCAAAGAACTTGGTAATTGGAGCCTCATAGAGAAACACATGCAGCAAGTGCAGACATATTATGCCATCTGTCTCGCTTCAAGCCGGCAAGCGGGATTCGCTGTCAGCGCGTCCCGATGCATCTGCGTCAAGAACTTGGTAAAGAGCGGCACGAAGAGAACGCCGCGGATGATGGCATCCTTAGCCCGTTCATAAAGGCCTACTGATCCACTGTAACATACTGTAACGTAGGCCAATGTCGTGCGGACTCCTGGGTTCTCAGTGCTTCGCGTTGAAATCAAACTGGGTCAGCCGGAGGCCAAGAGAAGCGTAAGCAGCCAAGAACATCCAAAGAGGATTCCTTGAGAAAGCGCGGGGCAGAATGGGTTCTATATCAAAATGACTCGATGACTGCTTGGCGCCCGCTTCAAAGCTTGACTTGAGCTCCAGCGGCGTGGTCGGCTTCTTCTTGTCCTCCTCCGTGTCCAGCATGACGTGCCTGGCCGCGACGATGCCCATCGTCATCTCGATCAGCGCCCAGAAGGGGTGGAAGCGGGTCAGGTTCCAGATCAGAGGGTGCATCACCTGTCCGTTGACCTCAGGCCATCTCGGGGTGCCGCAGGAGCGCAACTGCCGAAACTGCACAGAGGCCGCTTGCGTCCGCACTCTCAGCCGAGGTACCGGGTGCTCCTTGCTGCTGTGGAAGCGGGAAGTCTCCGAGTAAGAGACCTGCAACGGGCAAGCTGGTGCCAGGGCTGCCGCTTCTCAAAGCTCCAAGCCTTCTGCAGGAGCGAAATGCCCGTCAAGGCGGCGAAGAGCTTCTGAAGGCCTTGCCACGGCCATTGCCGATGCCCAAAACACGCCCTGCAAACCATTGGTCTTAAATCGTCCGAAGGGCCGTTCTTGGACAGCTGCGCAACCTGCGGGAGCACGAACGTCGGCATAGTGAGGTTCGAGAACGTCAGAGCCGACAAGAACCTAGGTTTGCGGAGTGGCGGAGTGGCTGCAGGAAGCTCCTCGCAAGTAGAAACCAGCAGGTCGAGTGCCTCTGCGCGTCAGATTACGAATGCACGTACGCGTGTGCATGCGCAGCCTTGCCAGACGCGTGTGCAGCGAGCTGGCACGGTTCGGTGGGTCAAGTTCGTGAGCTTTGGCTGCATGTCCTTCTTGGCATCCTTCTGCCTACATCTGCCTCTTGTCTGGCTACAGTCTAGCTTATCCACATCTTCGGAAGAGCGCGGAGCGACATGGAGGGAGGGACAGGAACTGTGTGCTGACCCGGGACCAAGTCGGCTGATTCCAGATCTCCGCCTCCTTGGGGAACCAAGCCTGCGCAGCAACTTCGGAAGAATTCTTGTCTACACTGACCTCACGAAGGAAGGCAAATAGGGAGAGAAGTGCTGCACTTACGTAGATGACACTGAGATCACTTTATCTCCCGGCCCCAGCCCCTCGGCTTGCCACAAGTTGCGCTAGTACGTAGTACGTCCACAGCTTCGAAGCAGAAGCCCCCTGATCTGTTCAACTGCCCGGCTAGCCTGCAGCATGGAGAAGTTCAGGAATGCCCGCATTGCCGTCGTTGTCCAGGGAGTGTTGAACCACCTCTCTCTCTCACACACACACACGATTGCGAGTCCGCTAGCACACAAGGCAAGGTGCTGCGACTGAACGATCCCGTGCCGCCAAAGCTAATCCAAGTTCATTCTCACTGACGTACGTGCCGTGATGTGCCCCATGTCGGGCCTCTCAACCTGGATGAACATCGGGGCGAAGAGGCAGGAAATCACGAAGTGCAAAGGATAGTAGGCCATGACCTGTCGGCTTCGCTTGCCAGCACGGACTTCAAGCCTTTGTGTTTTGGCAGACGCGGACCCTCTGCCAGAAGAAGAGCTCCGGGTTGGCTAGCTTCTTCTCCTCCGCTTTGCGCTCGCCAAGCTTCGTGGAAGTGTACGCGGACACCTGCAATGGAAAAGCTCGGCCAAAACGATTGCAGGATAATCCTGAGACCGACTTTACAGACACGGTCTGAGGCTGCGGCATACCCGGAAATCACGAAGAAGCCTCCAACTAGCACGTTCTCCTGCGTGAGCAACTTTAGCATCGTCAGATTCTTCGTTCCGAACCTGCGGCAGGTCTCGATGGTCAACTCTGTTGCATCTGCAGGCTTGCGTTGGCCTTGTGGGCTCAAGCCCTGCCTGGCGAAATGAGCGACCACGATGGGGAAGACGAGGGCAAACCGGCAGCCGTCGATGCAGTCAATGCGAGGCTTTGAGACCTCATGCAGTCTGCTTTCTGTGCCTTCTCATGACAGGACGATGCCAGACCGCTCCGCCCTGCCTTGACGGGCTTCACGTCCTTCTTGGCGTCAGGTGGCATCGCCATGGCCTTTGCATCTGCCTTCAAGTTGCAGCGCTACGCACATGCCAAGAAGGAGAAGCATTTACCTCAAACTGGATGGAGAACAGAGAGGGAGATCGGGAGAGACGAGAACGTCCGTCGCCAAGGGGCATCAATTTTCTGTGCCTCTGCGCTCATGCTTGCGAGCCTCGGTTTTGTGCCAGCACCGGGCTGCCGCCCCCCAAACCCAAACCCAACCCAGTCGGAGCTCGGACGAGGCACCAGCGATCGTTCGCGTCTGCTTTGAGTTTGGAGCTGCACTGGAGCTGGGCTTGAGCCAGATGGGCAATTCGCTCGACGCTGCCCACTGCCGGATGGCTCATCAGTCTGCTCCACGTAGGGAGAGTAACACGGAGAAGGACGTCAAAGCTCTTGTTTACGGAGCCGGGGTAGCTCCGAACATGTCGTGCCACTTGCACAACAATAGGCCAGTTGTGTGGCGTTGACACACGACAGCCTGCAACTGATACGCCGTCGCTGGCAGCTGCACCTAGTAGCGTGCAGCACCAACATGGCTCTACAAACAAATTGGACGTGGGCAGGAGCAGCAATGCCCGAGCTTGAGCAATTCAACATTTTGCTTGTCTGCGCCGCTCGGCATTGTATCGTCCTGCCCTGCTCTGCAAGAGCGCTGCTTGAGCATCAACAAGGCCTTGTGCCTGGCTCATTGTTCCTCATTGGCAACGCGGAAGCTTCAAAATTAGGAACGATCACGCAGCATGCCCTCAGTCCAGTTTCCCAGGAATTGGGCAACTTTGCCCGCGATGGCTGACACCTTCTTGTTCTTGACGAAGTACTCCTGTGCGCGGGGCATCTTCGCAGCAGCTAAGCAGAGGCCACAGCTTTGAGCCAGGCGACATTCGTCAAGTGGCTCAGACCCAAGCAGATAAGGAGGTAGAACCTTGCGAGCTACAGTATGCATCTTACTGAAGCACGTTCGGGCAAGATGGGTTCTGTCGCTGAGCTTGGGGCGGGAAGAACGACGTCGGCATCGGCGCACCCCAGATCCGCTTAGCCAGAACCTGCCACTGCACAACTGACGCCAGCACACATCCATCCCGTCGCTGTGCAAGAGCTCCGTGGTGCCTTCTTGTAGAAGATCTGTCCAATGGGGCCGTGCCTGGCGAGCAAAGACAAATGCAACTCAGTCCAAGAACCATGGTACAGGGGGGGAATGCTTTCTCCAGTGCTTGGCCGCGGTGCAGGATGAACATCGGGAAGGCGATGGAGCCCAGCGTGGCCATCGGCTTGGAGCCGAAGAAGCGTGTGATGGCTGCCTGCAGTGTTCCGGATACCCGCTCCATTGAAAAGCAATCTAGAGTCTGCACTATGCTCATCCCTGCTGGTGCAGATGCAGTTGCCGGATTCGCAGAGAGCGCATCCCTGTGCATCTGTGTCAGGAACTTCGTGAAGATCGGGACAAAGATCAAGCCGCGAATGATGGCATCCTCGCGGCTGAGCCCAGCTGCCCACGAGTTTTGCAGGCAGCTCGCCGGACAGCCGACAGCAGAGCATATCTGAGGACCGCACGTTGAAGTCGAACTTGGTCAAACGCAAACCCAGGGAAGCGTAAGCCACCAGGAAGAGCCACAGGGGGTTCCTTGGGTCAGGACGGGTTCTCTCATGATGGAATTGTGTGACGGACTTGACTTGAGCTCCAGCGGCGTGGTCGGCTTCTTCTTGTCCTCCTCCGTGTCCAGCATGACGTGCCTGGCCGCGACGATGCCCATCGTCATCTCGATCAGCGCCCAGAAGGGGTGGAAGCGGGTCAGGTTCCAGATCAGAGGGTGCATCACCTGTCCGTTGACCTTAGGCCATCTTGGGGTGCCGCAAGAGCGCAACTGCGCGAAGGCAGCTTGCATCCGCAGTCTCAGCCAAGGCGCTGGATGCTCCTTGCTGCTGTGGAAGCGGGCCGTCTCCGAGTAAGAGACCTGCCGCGCGAGCTGGTGCCAGGGCTGCGGCTTCTCAAAGCTGGAAGCCTTCTGCAGGAGCGAAATGCCCGTCAAAGCAGCGAAGAGCTTCTGAAGGCCTTGCCACTGCCATGTACCGTCATTGCACCGACGCCCACAACACGCCCTGCAAAAATCCTCCTTCCGAAATCGTCCGAGGGGCCGTTCTTGGACAGCTGCGCAACCTGCGGCAGCACCAGCGTCGGCATGGTGAGGTTCGAAAACGTCAGGGCCGACAAGAACCTGCTCGTGGCAGGAAGCGGCCTCAAGAAACCTGTCACCCCCTTCGCTGGGTCCGGAACCAGGTGGGCTGATTCCAGATCTCTGCTTCCTTGGGGAACCAAGCCTGGCCAAAAAAGCACTGCAACGTCTCCCGGCGCAGCTTTGCAACTTGCACGGCTGCCTGCAGCATGCTGAAGTTCAGGAAGGCACGGAAGGCGGTCGTGGTCCAGGGAGTGTTGTACCACCTCCGACTGCCCCGGCCCCAGCCACAAGAACCACAAGACGCGGACACTTCTTGCCCAGCCTCTCAACCTGGATGAACATCGGGGCGAAGAGGCAGGAAATCACGAAGTGCAAAGGATAGTAGGCCATCACCTTTCTGGCGCAAGACTTCGCGCTCTTGGCTCTTGCTCTCTGCCATGCAACTTGCTCAGAGGTCGACCCTCTGCCAGAAGAAGAGCTCTGGGTTGGCCAGCTTCTTGTCCTCTGCCTTCCGCTCGCCTAGCTTCGTGGAGGTGTAGGCAGACACCTCGGTCGCAAAACGACGTCTCAGAGAGCGTCTGCTGTCGCGATTGTTAGGCCCGCGGCATATCCTGAGATGACGAAGAAGCCTCCCACGAGCACGTTCTCCTGCGTCAGCAGCTTCAGCGCCGTCAGATTGCTGGTGCCAAACCTGACACAAACGTAGCAACTAGCGCGAACAGTTCGGGCTGGCTTTTGAACAACTGCGTTTCCATTCTATCTGCACGGTTCAAGCATGAGCAAGCGATCTGTCCAAGTCCGTCGCATCTGTGCCCCTGCCGCCTACCCCTGTGCACCTCGCAAAGTGCGCAATGACGATGGGGAAGACCAATGCGAAGCGGCAGCCGTCAATGCAGTCAATCCGAGGCTTCGAGACCTCCAAGGAAGACAACGCCCGATCTGCCGATCTGACTCCGACCACGACGTGACTGTGGCAATACCGAAGACATGTGGCACTCTCTCTGAGGCACACCGGTGCGCCTTCACCGGCTTGACTTCCTGCTTCGAGTCCGCAGGTGTGGCCATGGCCTTGGCATCAGCCTGACAGGAAAGACACACAGCTTCAGACTTTGGAGCGTCCCCGGACACCCCTGCCGCATCCCCGAACACTGCCCGCCGCCAAGACACATCGGGTTTCTGCGTTGCACTCATGTCGTCCGCCTGTGCTTTGCATGTGCCGTGCCGACGTGCTGTGGCATGCCTACTCCCACGTCATGCGTGCATCTGGCGGTCCAAGGCCCTGGCAGTGTTGCGGCGGCTTGGCTTGGGATAGCTCGGACGAAGGCTGTGAGCCCCAGAAGCAGCAACGGCGCACGAGAATGCATGAACCAGAGGTGATGACTGGCGTGCTGCGGCCGAAGTGGCCCAGCACCTGACTCCGCTACGATCTGCTCTGCAGGCACTTGCAGAGCGCGGCACAGCACAGCTTCGTCAAAGCTTTGAAGCGGGTGAAGCGCAGGGCTTCAAGACTGGTTGGCAGCGGCTCGACATGCGCCCCGCGTGCACAGCAGGCCGAATTGTGTGGCGTTGACACACAAGAGCCTGCAACTGATGTGCCGCCGCTGGGAGCTGCACCTAGTGGCGTGCAGCGCCAACACGGCTGTACAGATCTCTACAGCAAACAAATTGGAAGTGGGCAGGAGCAGCAATGCCCGAGCTTGGTAAAGGCACGGTTCTGCATGTCAACAATCTTTCCGACGAGCTGTGCTCGGCATTGTATCGTCCTGCCCTGCTCTGCAAGAGCGCTGCTTGAGCATCAACAAGGCCTTGTGCCTGGCTCATTGTTCCTCATGCGCAACGCGGAAACTTCAAAATTAGGAACGATCACGCAGCATGCCCTCAGTCCAGTTTCCCAGGAATTGGGCAACTTTGCCCGCGATGGCTGACACCTTCTTGTTCTTGACGAAGTACTCCTGTGCGCGGGGCATCTTCGCAGCAGCTAAGCAGAGGCCACAGCTTTGAGCCAGGCGACATTCGTCAAGTGGCTCAGACCCAAGCAGATAAGGAGGTAGAACCTTGCGAGCTACAGTATGCATCTTACTGAAGCACGTTCGGGCAAGATGGGTTCTGTCGCTGAGCTTGGGGCGGGAAGAACGACGTCGGCATCGGCGCACCCCAGATCCGCTTAGCCAGAACCTGCCACTGCACAACTGACGCCAGCACACATCCATCCCGTCGCTGTGCAAGAGCTCCGTGGTGCCTTCTTGTAGAAGATCTGTCCAATGGGGCCGTGCCTGGCGAGCAAAGACAAATGCAACTCAGTCCAAGAACCATGGTACAGGGGGGGAATGCTTTCTCCAGTGCTTGGCCGCGGTGCAGGATGAACATCGGGAAGGCGATGGAGCCCAGCGTGGCCATCGGCCTGGAGCCGAAGAAGCGTGTGATGGCTGCCTGCAGTGTTCCGGATACCCGCTCCATTGAAAAGCAATCTAGAGTCTGCACTATGCTCATCCCTGCTGGTGCAGATGCAGTTGCCGGATTCGCAGAGAGCGCATCCCTGTGCATCTGCGTCAGGAACTTCGTGAAGATCGGGACAAAGATCAAGCCGCGAATGATGGCATCCTCGCGGCTGAGCCCAGCTGCCCACGAGTTTTGCAGGGAGCTCGCCCGACAGCCGACAGCAGAGCATATCTGAGGACCGCACGTTGAAGTCGAACTTGGTCAAACGCAGACCAAGGGAAGCGTAAGCCGCCAGGAAGAGCCACAGGGGGTTCCTTGGGTCAGGACGGGTTCTCTCATGATGGAATTGTGTGACGGACTTGACTTGAGCTCCAGCGGCGTGGTCGGCTTCTTCTTGTCCTCCTCCGTGTCCAGCATGACGTGCCTGGCCGCGACGATGCCCATCGTCATCTCGATCAGCGCCCAGAAGGGGTGGAAGCGGGTCAGGTTCCAGATCAGAGGGTGCATCACCTGTCCGTTGACCTTAGGCCATCTTGGGGTGCCGCAAGAGCGCAACTGCGCGAAGGAAGCTTGCATCCGCAGTCTCAGCCAAGGCGCTGGATGCTCCTTGCTGCTGTGGAAGCGGGCCGTCTCCGAGTAAGAGACCTGCAGCGCGCGAGCTGGTGCCAGGGCTGCGGCTTCTCAAAGCTGGAAGCCTTCTGCAGGAGCGAAATGCCCGTCAAAGCAGCGAAGAGCTTCTGAAGGCCTTGCCACTGCCATGTACTGTCATTGCACCGACGCCCACAACACGCCCTGCAAAAATCCTCCTTCCGAAATCGTCCGAGGGGCCGTTCTTGGACAGCTGCGCAACCTGCGGCAGCACCAGCGTCGGCATGGTGAGGTTCGAGAACGTCAGGGCCGACAAGAACCTGCTCGTGGCAGGAAGCGGCCTCAAGAAACCTGTCACCCCCTTCGCTGGGTCCGGAACCAGGTGGGCTGATTCCAGATCTCTGCTTCCTTGGGGAACCAAGCCTGGCCAAAAAAGCACTGCAACGTCTCCCGGCGCAGCTTTGCAATTTGCACGGCTGCCTGCAGCATGCTGAAGTTCAGGAAGGCACGGAAGGCGGTCGTGGTCCAGGGAGTGTTGTACCACCTCCGACTGCCCCGGCCCCAGCCACAAGAACAACAAGACGCGGACGCTTCTTGCCCAGCCTCTCAACCTGGATGAACATCGGGGCGAAGAGGCAGGAAATCACGAAGTGCAAAGGATAGTAGGCCATCACCTTTCTTGCGCAAGACTTCGCGCTCTTGGCTCTTGCTCTCTGCCATGCAACTTGCTCAGAGGTCGACCCTCTGCCAGAAGAAGAGCTCTGGGTTGGCCAGCTTCTTGTCCTCTGCCTTCCGCTCGCCTAGCTTCGTGGAGGTGTAGGCAGACACCTCGGTCGCAAAACGACGTCTCAGAGAGCGTCTGCTGTCGCGATTGTTAGGCCCGCGGCATATCCTGAGATGACGAAGAAGCCTCCCACGAGCACGTTCTCCTGCGTCAGCAGCTTCAGCGCCGTCAGATTGCTGGTGCCAAACCTGACACAAACGCAGCAACTAGCGCGAACAGTTCGGGCTGGCTTTTGAACAACTGCGTTTCTATTCTATCTGCACGGTTCAAGCATGAGCAAGCGATCTGTCCAAGTCCGTCGCATCTGTGCCCCTGCCGCCTACCCCTGTGCACCTCGCAAAGTGCGCGATGACGATGGGGAAGACCAATGCGAAGCGGCAGCCGTCAATGCAGTCAATCCGAGGCTTCGAGACCTCTAAGGAAGACAACGCCCGATCTGCCGATCTGACTCCGACCACGACGTGACTGTGGCAATACCGAAGACATGTGGCACTCTCTCTGAGGCACACCGGTGCGCCTTCACCGGCTTGACTTCCTGCTTCGAGTCCGCAGGTGTGGCCATGGCCTTGGCATCAGCCTGACAGGAAAGACACACAGCTTCAGACTTTGGAGCGTCCCCGGACACCCCTGCCGCATCCCCGAACACTCCCTGCCGCCAAGACACATCGGGTTTCTGCGTTGCACTCATGTCGTCCGCCTGTGCTTTGCATGTGCCGTGCCGACGTGCTGTGGCATGCCTACTCCCACGTCATGCGTGCATCCTGCGGTCCAAGGCCCTGGCAGTGTTGCGGCGGCTTGGCTTGGGATAGCTCGGACGAAGGCTGTGAGCCCCAGAAGCAGCAACGGCGCACGAGAATGCATGAACCAGAGGTGATGACTGGCGTGCTGCGGCCGAAGTGGCCCAGCACCTGACTCCGCTACGATCTGCTCTGCAGGCACTTGCAGAGCGCGGCACAGCACAGCTTCGTCAAAGCTTTGAAGCGGGTGAAGCCCGGCAGCGGCTCGACATGCGCCCCGCGTGCACAGCAGGCCGAATTGTGTGGCGTTGACACACAAGAGCCTGCAACTGATGTGCCGCCGCTGGGAGCTGCACCTAGTGGCGTGCAGCGCCAACACGGCTGTACAGATCTCTACAGCAAACAAATTGGAAGTGGGCAGGAGCAGCAATGCCCGAGCTTGGTAAAGGCACGGTTCTGCATGTCAACAATCTTTCCGACGAGCTGTGCTCGGCATTGTATCGTCCTGCCCTGCTCTGCAAGAGCGCTGCTTGAGCATCAACAAGGCCTTGTGCCTGGCTCATTGTTCCTCATGGGCAACGCGGAAACTTCAAAATTAGGAACGATCACGCAGCATGCCCTCAGTCCAGTTTCCCAGGAATTGGGCAACTTTGCCCGCGATGGCTGACACCTTCTTGTTCTTGACGAAGTACTCCTGTGCGCGGGGCATCTTCGCAGCAGCTAAGCAAAGGCCGTAGCTTTGAGCCAGGCGACATTCGTCAAGTGGCTCAGACCCAAGCAGATAAGGAGGTAGAACCTTGCGAGCTACAGTATGCATCTTACTGAAGCACGTTCGGGCAAGATGGGTTCTGTCGCTGAGCTTGGGGCGGGAAGAACGACGTCGGCATCGGCGCACCCCAGATCCGCTTAGCCAGAACCTGCCACTGCACAACTGACGCCAGCACACATCCATCCCGTCGCTGTGCAAGAGCTCCGTGGTGCCTTCTTGTAGAAGATCTGTCCAATGGGGCCGTGCCTGGCGAGCAAAGACAAATGCAACTCAGTCCAAGAACCATGGTACAGGGGGGGAATGCTTTCTCCAGTGCTTGGCCGCGGTGCAGGATGAACATCGGGAAGGCGATGGAGCCCAGCGTGGCCATCGGCTTGGAGCCGAAGAAGCGTGTGATGGCTGCCTGCAGTGTTCCGGATACCCGCTCCATTGAAAAGCAATCTAGAGTCTGCACTATGCTCATCCCTGCTGGTGCAGATGCAGTTGCCGGATTCGCAGAGAGCGCATCCCTGTGCATCTGCGTCAGGAACTTCGTGAAGATCGGGACAAAGATCAAGCCGCGAATGATGGCATCCTCGCGGCTGAGCCCAGCTGCCCACGAGTTTTGCAGGCAGCTCGCCGGACAGCCGACAGCAGAGCATATCTGAGGACCGCACGTTGAAGTCGAACTTGGTCAAACGCAGACCCAGGGAAGCGTAAGCCGCCAGGAAGAGCCACAGGGGGTTCCTTGGGTCAGTACGGGTTCTCTCATGATGGAACTGTTCGACGAACTTGACTTGAGCTCCAGCGGCGTGGTCGGCTTCTTCTTGTCCTCCTCCGTGTCCAGCATGACGTGCCTGGCCGCGACGATGCCCATCGTCATCTCGATCAGCGCCCAGAAGGGGTGGAAGCGGGTCAGGTTCCAGATCAGAGGGTGCATCACCTGTCCGTTGACCTTAGGCCATCTTGGGGTGCCGCAAGAGCGCAACTGCGCGAAGGCAGCTTGCATCCGCAGTCTCAGCCAAGGCGCTGGATGCTCCTTGCTGCTGTGGAAGCGGGCCGTCTCCGAGTAAGAGACCTGCAGCGCGCGAGCTGGTGCCAGGGCTGCGGCTTCTCAAAGCTGGAAACCTTCTGCAGGAGCGAAATGCCCGTCAAAGCAGCGAAGAGCTTCTGAAGGCCTTGCCACTGCCATGTACTGTCATTGCACCGACGCCCACAGCACGCCCTGCAAAAATCCTCCTTCCGAAATCGTCCGAGGGGCCGTTCTTGGACAGCTGCGCAACCTGCGGCAGCACCAGCGTCGGCATGGTGAGGTTCGAGAACGTCAGGGCCGACAAGAACCTGCTCGTGGCAGGAAGCGGCCTCAAGAAACCTGTCACCCCCTTCGCTGGGTCCGGAACCAGGTGGGCTGATTCCAGATCTCTGCTTCCTTGGGGAACCAAGCCTGGCCAAAAAAGCACTGCAACGTCTCCCGGCGCAGCTTTGCAACTTGCACGGCTGCCTGCAGCATGCTGAAGTTCAGGAAGGCACGGAAGGCGGTCGTGGTCCAGGGAGTGTTGTACCACCTCCGACTGCCCCGGCCCCAGCCACAAGAACCGCAAGACGCGGACGCTTCTTGCCCAGCCTCTCAACCTGGATGAACATCGGGGCGAAGAGGCAGGAAATCACGAAGTGCAAAGGATAGTAGGCCATCACCTTTCTTGCGCAAGACTTCGCGCTCTTGGCTCTTGCTCTCTGCCATGCAACTTGCTCAGAGGTCGACCCTCTGCCAGAAGAAGAGCTCTGGGTTGGCCAGCTTCTTGTCCTCTGCCTTCCGCTCGCCTAGCTTCGTGGAGGTGTAGGCAGACACCTCGGTCGCAAAACGACGTCTCAGAGAGCGTCTGCTGTCGCGATTGTTAGGCCCGCGGCATATCCTGAGATGACGAAGAAGCCTCCCACGAGCACGTTCTCCTGCGTCAGCAGCTTCAGCGCCGTCAGATTGCTGGTGCCAAACCTGACACAAACGCAGCAACTAGCGCGAACAGTTCGGGCTGGCTTTTGAACAACTGCGTTTCTATTCTATCTGCACGGTTCAAGCATGAGCAAGCGATCTGTCCAAGTCCGTCGCATCTGTGCCCCTGCCGCCTACCCCTGTGCACCTCGCAAAGTGCGCAATGACGATGGGGAAGACCAATGCGAAGCGGCAGCCGTCAATGCAGTCAATCCGAGGCTTCGAGACCTCTAAGGAAGACAACGCCCGATCTGCCGATCTGACTCCGACCACGACGTGACTGTGGCAATACCGAAGACATGTGGCACTCTCTCTGAGGCACACCGGTGCGCCTTCACCGGCTTGACTTCCTGCTTCGAGTCCGCAGGTGTGGCCATGGCCTTGGCATCAGCCTGACAGGAAAGACACACAGCTTCAGACTTTGGAGCGTCCCCGGACACCCCTGCCGCATCCCCGAACACTCCCTGCCGCCAAGACACATCGGGTTTCTGCGTTGCGCTCATGTCGTCCGCCTGTGCTTTGCATGTGCCGTGCCGACGTGCTGTGGCATGCCTACTCCCACGCCATGCGTGCATCCGGCGGTCCAAGGCCCTGGCAGTGTTGCGGCGGCTTGGCTTGGGATAGCTCGGACGAAGGCTGTGAGCCCCAGAAGCAGCAACGGCGCACGAGAATGCATGAACCAGAGGTGATGACTGGCGTGCTGCGGCCGAAGTGGCCCAGCACCTGACTCCGCTATGATCTGCTCTGCAGGCACTGGCAGAGCGCGGCACAGCACGGGCAAAGCACTTGTTCTCCTCGAGCGGATGCTGCAGGGTCTTGCATCGAATTTGGAGGCCCCACCACCAACCTGGCACCTTGGGGTGGCAGCTGATGGCAGTGCCTGCAGCTCTCTGAGCCCCAGAACCAGATTACTTCGGGCTCCTGCTGGTGTTTTAACATTAAAAAACATATGATAAAATCGTCCCCAAGATACTGTTCCAAATATTCAGGGAATGGTCTGCATCGTCTCGGCTTAATATGCCGAGCACAACTCTCACGTTTCTCAGAGCTCAGAACACTTGGAGAAGATTAAATCGTGCATCCACCGTCTCATTGATGGCTTGATTTCACGAAGCCCCATCACCAAGACGGTAGATCTAGGTTGTGCTGGGGCGAAGAGCGCGCCATGCATGAAGCCTGCTGCACAGCGGAATGGACCAGTGAGACATCGCCTGTACAGTCTGCACATGTCTGCACTTCTCCACGATTATCAGACCGCGCTGGTCGTTACGTCCACCTGCTTCGTCCCTGACTACTCAGTCTGTGCTCCTTTGGAGCCGGAACATCTGCAAGTGAGGGAGGGGAGGCCGCAGATGGAGCATCGGGGACTTCAAGCGCAAACTTAGGGTCTCGGGGCGTGGCTTTCGTCTCGGCTTCCCTCAGGCTCGCTCATGCCGCGCCAGATGGGCGCTGCAGCAACTGGGACCAACTTGACTGCCTTATTGCGGCGGTCAAAGGAGTCAGATGGAGCACATCTATCCTTCGTCTTGCTCCTGCCTTGTCTCGCCTCTGAGACCGTTTGATGCTGCCAGGTGGCATCAGAGAGTTTCAACCTCAAGGACCCTCCGCCTTGGAGACAGACACCTCCACCAGGTACTCGGGGTAGACCTCGCCACTGCAGGGATTTTCATTTGCTCGATGGCAGGGAACAAGCACTCTGCCTGCATCTCCGTCAGGACGATGAACTCCCTGGGACCCTCGGCTAGCGGATTCGCCAGCACCGCGTGTTTGCCCACCTGACTGGTCATCATCTTGCGGCCTACTGCTTGTGACATTTGCCTAGGTTTGGTGTCGCATCATGCCTGGGCTTAGTCCCAGGTCTGTGCAAGCGGCTTGCCCCACCTGCTTGGCGTTCGCCGACGCGTTGCCATCAACCTGCCCCTCCGTGTAGTGCATCTGGCCGCAGAGTACACGGCACAGGAGCCTGAGGGAGACTTACAAACTGGGACTCGCATTGATTATGCACCATGAAGTGGCATGTGAAATAGATTGATGCCAGCAAGGTACACAAACTGCGACTTGCTTCCACCGTCTGACCCCTTCTCCAAGGGAGCCTCGGCGAGCGGGCATGGAAGCTTGTATGCAGAAACAAGCGCTGCAACTGCGACGATGTTTGCTGCCCGACACCAGCTTGCAGGTCAGGTCACGACGAACCAGGGCAGGATCCGCAGGAGCAGTGTGTACGTCAAGCAGCTATGCAGACAAGTAGCGTAGCTCAGGCTTTTCCCGATGTCTTCTGCAAAGTACAAACCACTTCCGAAACGAAAGCCATGTTTGGCGTCCTGCTCAGTCCGGGCAACTCACAAGATCAATGTGCACACACGCTGAATGGATAAGAAAAGCTCTGGCAAATCCTGCAGACGGCCAGACTACTACGAGAAAAAGAACGGAGACACAACATGCCAAAAGGCAAGTTCCTTGGGAATGCGAAAGTCGGCAGTGACGATTGCTTCCGCTGATGCCCGGGACGTTCCATGCCAAAGCAGGTGCTCCTGTGGCGAATGGATGCATATTCACGCTGCCAGCTTGCTACTGTCGCGAACCACGAGGAATGCGGCATTGGCCCAGCAAAATTACACGGTGGCTAAGGCCTGGATACTGTCGTCCAAGGTATCGATGGAGATCGTACCGGTAGCCTGTACTCCTGCAATGGAGTCAGGGTATCAACGATGTCGCAGTGTCAACCACCAAAACTGACGGCGAGCGTTGCGCTCCTTTACCCGTCAATTTCTTCAGGTAAGAGTAAGTCAGTATCTCCTCAGGTTCGGCTGTGGACGACTCATGCTGCAATCGCCGGTTCATCACTGCCCGAATTGCAACCCACACCGGCCCACACCTGTTTTGAAACCCCGAAAGAGTGTACCCTCAAATCAGCTCCATTGCCAATCTCGTGCTACATAATTCGGAGCTCTTGGAAGCACGAATCGTTCTGGGAGCCAGGACACCCCACGCGTGGCCTGGCGACATTGCTCTTGGGATGTCCCGTATGAAAGATGCATCTGCAAAGGCTGCTGGTATGTGGGATCTGTGCAGGAAACTGAACATAAACTCTTCTCCGTGAACCTTGAATGGGGGTTCCAAATCCTGGAGGGGCAGCGGCCTTGCCCTCCAGAAGCTCGGCAGAAGCGAAAGAAGCCAGCCCGGACGCTTCCAGCTCCTGGCGAAGCCTGCGAGGAAGGTCCAACCGAGAGTGAGGAGCCGGCATGTGCACAGTTCTAACGCTTGGTGCTTCAGACGGAACCTGTCGCCGGGCCCTTTGAAACCCGCGCCCCGAAGGCTTAAGGCAAGTCTGCGGAGTTTAGCGGTGGCATGCCGCCGGATGAAGACAGGGCCTTCGAGCCTGTGGACATCCCAAACATTGGGCAAGTTGGCTTCATGATGCCGGAAGGTCTTGTGCACCTTTGGGCCCACACCTGTCCTGCGCTTGAACTGCACGTAGCGGTTCCACATGCTGGACATCTCGATGCGTCGAGCAGAGATGACCTGCTGTCGGGCCAGGAATCAAGAACCAGAATCAAGAACCAGCCACTTAAAGGTAAGGTCCTGAAGAGTGCTAAAGTCTTGGACACGATTTACGTGCTTCTTCCTCACTCTTTCATGTGCAAGCTACCATGCATGCATGCCTTGATGAAGGCGTCGCCACCTGCACCACCTGCAGCAAGTGCCAAGCACAGCCAGAACCCAAAGTCAATGATCATGATCACGGGCTCGGAGTGTCTGCTTGGATTCCACAGCTCTAGAACCATGGCTTATGAGGCTTGGGGCCACGGCATCCGTGGCCTGGGCTGCAGCCCTGCGCCAGCTGCTGCAGCAAGGTGCGGGAGGTCGCGCGGACAGCATACTGTGCCTGACGGGACTTGAAGCGAAGGTCAGAACCAACTACCGCTCGCATGGCTCCTCGAAGGCGTTGACGCCTGGATTTACGTGACAATGCTGCCAGTACCTGGGCGAGCGCATGTTAGATCTCTGCCAAGGCCACGTGTCTGTTTCACGGGGTTTCCAGGCGTGTACGACGCGAAAACGCCTGCTGAGCATTCCGAAGAGTTGAAAAAACAGCTCTATGCTGCAGCGGAGTGGTGGTTTTCACAGGGCTAAGAGCTGGCACAGCTTCCTCATGGCATGTCCAGCTATTTGTGCGAGATTCCAAGGAGGCAAAAGGCGAGACCAGATCTGTAGCTATGCTGTGCACGTGTCCTTTGTCCTTTGCATGCAAAGCTACACCGGAAGCTCGGCATGCAGTTCTCCACCCAGCTCGAACTTGAAGGTCTCCAGGGCCACGGCCTGATTTCAGGCCGAGCTCTCGGACGCCCCTCACTTCGCACGAAGCTGCTTTAAGGCAAGGCGGGCTCGCCCGCGGACGTCGTGAGTAGAGGACAACGTACTCAGGGTATACCTGCGGGATGGGCATGGGAAGCAGGGCTGCTTCACGGTGTCGCTACATCAGTCCGCGTTACGCCCGCGATGCGATCTCGCACTCCAAGCGCCTGGTCCGCGTTGTAGACCACAAACTCACGGAAAGTGTTGGCCTTCTTGGTCCTCTGGATTCTGCTTGGACATGTGGAATCTGAAGGTTGGAGGAGCAATGCAGAGCAGGCAGACAAGACTCACCATCCCAGACCCTGCAGACCCTCCAAAGAGGGACAAAGAGCGCACCCAAGCGGCCTGTCACCAACGGTGCTGTCAAACTCGCCCGACTTCACCTTGTCGCCTTCCAAGGAAGTATCTGCATGTTCAGCAAGTATTTTTGCGATCACTCTGCATTGCAACCGTCCATTCGGCACAAGCACATCCACAAGACAGGGTTCTTTTCAAACTCATAGCTGATGACCCGACAATGCACCTGCCTGCAGCTTCATAGCGATCCGTTGTGTACAGGAACTTGCCCATGCAGACTCGGCAGAGCAGAAGCGCAAAGACGCCCTCGTAGTAACCTCACCAGTGGCACAGCTACGTGCACAGCTACAGGGAGAAAGAGGAAGTCGAAACCTGGCACTCTTTTAAGGAAGCTGAGGCACACACCGTGAGGCTCGTCCCTTGCATACTCATCGGCTTTCGTGCCTCGGGACCCCATGCCATGTAGGAAGGCCCGCAACTTGTTTGCCTGCCTGCAGCTTCGGTGCAGTTTTCCGCCAAATAGCAGCCTCTTCCGTACATGGTACCCGCATTGGAGCCCGCCATATCGATCCGGAAGTCTTCGTGCGCGATGGACAGGGCCGCCCGAACGTGAGTGCCGTGCCACAAGTAGAATTCGTTCAGGCCCTCGTCCAATGGAGTGAAAGTTCCCGGTTGATCCTTCACCAATCCTGGTGGGACCGGGACCCACGGAGCTGCAACTTGCACGGCTTGCACGTGTGTACAAAGCAAACGTGTGTTGTGCTGAGGTCTTCGTTTGAGCACCTGTCCTGACGTACACACCGCTGGCTCTACTTGCTCGATGGAGCTGGATCTGTTCCGCCGAATCTGGTCCCGCTTCCTCATGAAGCGCTTCCACATCCTTGCAGGATCTTGCAGGCTGTGGCCGCGCGAGACGCCCAAGTGGGCTCTGTGCAAGCATGCAGCATGGCCCAGGTTTGCATGCGCTGAATGAAACCCTGCAGTCGCGTCCCCACGGCACCTTGAGTCTTCCACACGGATGACGCGCCGCACCACGTAACTTGCCGGCAGGCCTGTGATTACAACAATTGTGTGGAGCTTCAAAATGAGGCACCAAGCCTGGATCACCGTCAGGCTGGACGCAAGGGCAGCCACCCGGCATCTTGGGACAGGCTGCTTTCGGGCAAGGCCTGCAACAATGGGCCCAGTTACCGGAACCTCGGGCTGCTCCCTCTCTCGCAGCTCTCTCTCGCTCTTTCTTCTCTCTCTCTCTCTCTCTCTCTCTTTCTCTCTTTCTCTCTCTCTCTCTCTCTCTCTCTCTCTCTCTCCCTCTCTCTCTCTCTCTCTCTCTCTCTCTCTCTCTCTCTCTCTCTCTCTCTCTCTCTCTCTCTCTCTCTCTCTCTCTCTCTCTCTCCTCTCTCTCTCTCTCTCTCTCTCTCTCTCTCTCTCTCTCTCTCTCTCTCTCTCTCTCTCTCTCTCTCTCTCTCTCTCTCTCTCTCTCTCTCTCTCTCTCTCTCTCTCTTGCTTGCATGCGGTCAAGGGCTGCGTGCTCTCTCTCTCTCTCTCTCTCTCTCTCTCTCTCTCAATCTCTCAATCTCTCAATCTCTCACGAGAAGGAGCAAAGATGAGCAAAGCTTGTTTCGGCGGACGCGCCTGTCTTGCGTGCACCGTGCGCGGTAGGTGGAATTCAAGAGCTCCGTGAAATGCTCCACCTGATCATCGTTGCTGTAGAGCATGGCATTGAAGTCCGTATTCTCGGAAGCGTGGCCTTGGAATCGGTTCGATGTCATGGGCCATCTGGGCCATGCTATGACTGCTGCCACCGAGTGGCCCCAATATCTAGGGAGGGACTCCTCTCTAAAGCCCAGATCAGTAGGTCAAAGCTTGCAAAGATACAGCGATCATGTACCCTAAAAGCCCTGAACCCTAACTCCTAAACCGATCATCTCCTTGGTGGTGGAGTCTATCGCCTGGCCCTCCTCATTCGAGAGAGTGATGCTCTTGGCCCTCGTCAAGGCCTCGCAACTTCGCTCTCGATTCCAGAGATGATCGGAAGTTTAGCTGTGCAGCTCCCATCTTCTCCCCTTGCAACCCACTCTCACCTTGGTCGTCGCGGCTGGCACCCCGACAGTGTCGGCTGGGGGGCTCGCGGCCGGTGATACCTGGAAGGCCAAGCTGAGTGAAAGCGAAATCTAATTGGGGAGAGGACTTCCGTGGAAAGGAATTCCGTGGAGAATGCCGAACACTTAAGCCCTAAACTCTCAAACGCCGCTAAAACCCTGAAAACCTGGAAGAGTGCATCCGGGAAACCGCCTTAGGCGGGATGAGGGGCCGCTGCCTAGCGGCCCGCTGCCGCTTCCAGTAGCCTCGGTAGCGTTCAGGGTGTAGGGTTTAGGGTGCAAGGTTTAGGGTTCAGGGGTGCACCCCCAGACCCTCAACCTAGACTCCATAGGTAGCATGACAAGTGCAACCAGGAAATGGGCTGAGCCAAGCTGCAGTATGCTGCTATAAGACCTGTCCGGCGGCTACTTGCGAAGGGTTGCTACCAGGGTTATTTTAAGGCTCCGTAACTGTTACGACAAGGGTTACTACAAGGCGACCAAAGCAGAAAAATAATAATGTGTGAACAAACGTCAGGTCACTTTGATGTGCCAAACTGCACTGAAGCGCGCTCCCACTAAACCCTAAACCCCTGAGCCCTAAACCCCTGCACAACTCAAAAAAAAAAACTAAACCCCTGAATCCTAAAACCCTAATCTCTGGCCTAGCAAGACGATCGCACCCACGACAATAAGCACAATGCGCACGGCCAGCATCGGATCCCCAGAGCTTCCATACCGTCCTTGCCAAAGGTATACAAACAGTTTGGTTTAGGGTTTAGGGGTTCAGGGGTTTGGGGTTTGTTTTTTGTTTTGGTACACTTCTCGATTTGGGTTTGGGGTTTAGGTGTTTTTTGGATTTTTTGATTCATTGTCCTTCCTAAGGTGTCGATACCTCAAGGTCGCAACCGCTCAAAACACTCCTGCAATCAGTCCACGCCTCGCTTCTCGCAGACTGCACTGGCAGTACATGGGAGTTTCCGAAAATAGGGGGACCCTAATATAGTACCCTGAATAGTAGGATCCCTAGTATAAGAACCCCAAAACAAGGTACCCCTAATTTTCTGAAACTCCCACATGGGATCAGTGTTGAACCGGAAGCTTGACTTCCCCAGCTAGGACAAACCCATAATCTCCAAGAAGCTCCAAATTCTGGCTCCACAACCATCTGCAGTCTTGGCAGAGCACAGGGATACGGCCAGAAATTGGCAGCCTCGGTTTACCCGGACGAGATGCATAATTCTTCGAGGGTCTGCATTGTCCTCACTTGCACCAAAATATCAAACTGCTATCTACGCTGAGATACCTTGGGCGCCAATACAGCCGCCTGAAGGGGAGCAGTAGATGAACCGAACCTTCACTATGCTAAGTCACTATATTTCTCCTCCATCTGCAAAGTCCCAAGCCTCCTGTTCCGTCTAAGCAAGGCTGGAAGCATGCAGCACAGCTGGATTCCGATGCGCAGTATTCCCAGCAGGTTTCGAACGAATCGTAGCGGGACAAGATGGATGGATCATCATCATCCATGGCATTGGAGCAGTACGCGTCCGTGGTTTCCGTGTATCTGCTGGAAATCACACCTTAGAAGACATCTTGGGCACAGCAACTCATCAGCCATTTTGATGCACCAGGTGCCTTGAGGGGCGGCTGCCGTCGTGGTGGTCGAGGGTGGTGAGGTGGCCGAGCTGGAGGAGCTTGTTGCCACGCTCTCTGTGCTTGTGGTTGTAGTCGTGGTAGGCAGTTTGCGATAGCAGGAGCTGGTAAAATGTCCGGATGCCTCAGGAAGATGTGTCGTCTCTCGTTGTTGATTTCAAGGTGCATTGCTCCGCATGTGTGCATGCCGACTTTCGTGACGACTCGTCTCTAGTTCTGCGAGCACACATGTACGTTCGTAAACTCACTGATCACAACCAGCCATCCTTTGCTTCTCCAGCATGGGGGCCAGCGATCTTCAAGAGCTTTTGCGTTGATCGAGGCGACTCTCACCACCGCCGCTCGCAGGAAAGTAGGACAATTGCGCACCGACCCACGGGATCCGAATACGAATTAAGCGAACAGATCAGGCGGCTCAGCTATTCAGCAAACTTCAGCCGTTAGAGGACCAACCTGCGGAAGCGAGATTTTCAGCTCCAACCCCCGTAGTGAACATGCATGGGATGGCCTGTCGTTTGGAATCTTCTGGATAGAAACAACGCTTGAAGCCTGTTCGTCTGCTCACACACCACGTCCACCACTTAGCCGAGAGATTTTGCACGCCCGCTTTGGGCCCAGACACAACTGAAACAGACCGCGCAGATCTCTGCATGTCTCTACTACTCTATGCAATTGCAGCTCAGAGCCCAAGAGATGAATAGCAGAAGAGGAACTTTGTTGACGGGCCCAGTGCCATAGTTCGTAGTGACAGTGCCAGAGCTGGGAACCTCGAAGCCTATCGGTACCTGACCAATGCTCGTCATGGACCCCGTGTTGCATGGGAGTCTGATCTCAGATCGCGGGATGCTTGTCTTGAGGTTGCTACCAACAGACGCTTCCCCTCCAAGTGCCTGGACCTCTTCCAAATCCCGCTGCAGAGACAGGCCCAAGCGCCAAAACTGGAGCAAGAACCGGAAGCCCAAATCGCAGGACATCCCAGAATTTCTATTAACTTCCGCACCTGCCCGTTGTTCATGTAGATGGTGCAGTCATTTGTGTCGCTGAAGGCAAAACCGGGACTTTGAGGGTTCGAGGCAGAACGGCTTTCGCACATGGCCAGGGTCCCATCGTAACCGTTCTCTCCCGTGGAGGCAGTGAAGCTGTCGTAGTAGATGTTCCTACAAGGCTTCACCCAAAACCCCAAACCCTGTGTAAACCTCATGAATGCTAAACCCTACAACCCTAAACCCCTAAACCCTAAAACCCTAACCCCCAAAACTGAAACGCTGTTTTAGCAACCGCGCACTTGAGCCAAAAGATAACGTCAGTGTGAAACAACTGCACATGAGACCCATACCCAAACTATACCCCAAATCCAGTCACGCCTCCCGAGTAGGGATCACGCTTTGCTGTTCCTGCGAGTCCTTTGGGGTATTCCTTCACGCCTTCCCTAAGGCCAGCTCATGCTTTCCAGACCTGACGGTGTAGCCCATTCGACCCAGCAACTTCGTAGCAGTTTGGCCGTCCAGCGGCTTCGTCATGAGGTCCGCTAGCATGTCTTGCGTGTTGACATTCTTCAGGCGTATCCTTCCTTGGTCCACTATCTCTTGTACCCATAGGTAGCAGGTGTCAATGTGCTTGACCTTGCCTGCGCTGGCATCCATAGCTATGTTATGTTGACAGACAGCTTTACGCCCCAATCTGCCATCATTGCTTGCTCGCCCAAAGCGGTCGATGCTGTTGAAATCAAGCCATAGTACTCTGCTTCTCCAGTGGACAGGGCAATCACAGCTTGCCCCTTGGCTGCTGTCTTCACTGTTGCTTCTCCGAGCTGGATCACAGTTCCAGTCGTGCTCTTCCTAGTCTTAATGCATCCAGCATGGTCACTGTCGGACCAAGCATTGATGCTCGTGAAGTGCTCTTGATACGGAATCAATTGCACTAGCCTAGGAGCTCCTCGGAGATACCTTGCAGCTCTCTTCAGGAGACCCCAGTGGTGTTGTTGAGGCTCCTTCAGTCCTTTCGCCAACTCGCGGACGGTCCTTAGCAAGTCTGGTCTGTCCATGGACAGATAACCTATCCGCATAGCGATAGAACGGTACAAAGCTGCTTCAGCAGTACCAAGTGGAGTCTTGTCCATGTCCTCTTCCTTCACCTTGACCAGTCGATCATCCAAGGGAAGATGACCGAATCCTTGGGCAGTTCTCCTCCAATACTCTGCTCCAGGGCATACTTCATCGTGCGCACCTGTCCCTGCACGCGTTGCACCGCATTCTCAGCTGTGGCATTGCTACGGCTCCTACCTTCAAGGTCCTTTCCCAACAAGTTTCGCAGCGAAGCGCATCCCTCAGGGATGCTTAGCCCTTCCAGGGCCCTTAAAAAGCTCTTTGTCGGCTTGAAGCTCTCGGTAGCCGGACTTACGCTGTAGGCAGCAGCCGTGGAGGGTGCGGGTGCACCGGAAGTACGCGAAACAACGCGCGAGGACTCCCACGCACCGGGAAGACCAGAGAGCTCCCATTCGGGAGGTACAGTGTTGCTTCCTTTCCCGCAAAAACTAAGGCGTTGCCACGGACCATGGCCCGGCCCGTGGAGAGGAGGCAGCGCTTCACTGCCGCCACATTGAAGATGCATCTGCATCTGTTGGCCTTCCCGTCCGGAGACGGGCCACTCAGAAGCAACTCCGTTGTGCCCAAGTTGGGCAGGCTCTCCCCACTCGCCGTGGAAAACTTCAATGGCGAACTCACCTCCTTCAAGGCTGTAGCCCTCCCTTCCTTGAAGAGCTTCTGGTACACCTGGTCTGGGAGCACGTTGTGGCTTGCGCCACTGTCCAAGATCACCTCCATTGAGGGATGCTTCTGGTTCCGGGAAGGTGCCGACGCGGCCCCACGGCCCTGCTTCCCCGTCCCAGTGGCTCGTGGTCTGTGTCGGGGTCTTCCTCTTCCACCTCGACCTCCACTTCTTCATCCTGGCCCTCATCCTCCGTAAGGAGGGGCAGATGCTTCATCCTCTCCTTCTTCCGGAGGAGACTCTTCTGGCTGGTGCTTAAGCGTGAGTGGCCGAGTGGTGGACACGGGGTGGTGGGACGATGAGACATGATCGGTTTCACCCATTTGCTTGCCTCAACTCTGGGCTTGCGAGTCGTCGGGGAAAAAAAAAGAAACACGGGACCAAAAAAGCATTGTAGTTTCCGTTCATTGCATCGGTCTTGTTCTTTCCTATCTGCAGTCTGGGATTTTTCTACCCTTTGGTTGGCGCGCAACACAAAAAGATTTGCCACATCCTTTTCAGAAACAGAACATAGCAAAGCAACAGGGTTTGGGTTCATCGCCTCCGCTGGCAAAAGAACCAAGTATCTGGGGTTCCTTGCTTCATCGTCCTGTATGTTTTTCTTTGTGTGTGTGCCATGTATGTTTGAGCAAAACACAACAACATATTCCTCAATCGCGAGAGATGTCTGCTTGCGCTTTGCAAGCACATGCGAAGGGTGTCTGGCTTCCTCCAAAACTCCCCCCCTCCCGCTCCCAAAAAAGAACGAAAACCTCTGGCGCCAAAACCACACCCCAAAACCGTCCCCACCGAACCGAACAACCACCAAAAAAAACACCGAAAACCAGCTGAAGACACCCTTGGGCGCCAAAAGGTGACTTCCGGAGCGGCCTCTTCTCTGGCCTCCGACATCTGCTGCCGCCACCTCAGAAACACAGCGACGTGCTCTATCGGTGCTCTTTGCGAAGTGCAGTGAGTCACGCTTCTGATACATGCTGCACGCACACGTATACATGCTGCACGCAGACGCCTTATGAGCTCGAGCCTTGGGAGGGCTCGACTTAGAGCCTTGTCAGGGATGCAAGGATGGCAAGCAGCACAGGCCGAACAGCAGACAGCAGACAATACAGCGCAAAGCAGGCAGCACACGACCCAGACCCAGAGCCATGCCGTGGATCTGGAGTGACGCCCAAAACAAGTACGTTTGGGCGCGGAACCCGGCCCAGGCCGCGCGTGAGGAGAACAACCGCAACAACCTCCACAACGAGCTGCAGCGGCTGAGACAGAACGAGGTAAGCTCCGCAGAACGTCAGGGCGAACTGCGTTCGGAGCTGCAGCAAGTGTTGTCCCTGAACCGTGTGTGGTGCGAGCGGCACGAGGCCTGGAACCATGCGTGTTTGGATGATTTCTGCCTCCGCCCAAAGCACTCCAGGAGACTGAAGCCGCCCAGAAGAACCTCCAGGCTGATTGGGGCCCAGCGGATGAGAGGTTGTCTTTGTTTCATTATGCTTGCCAGGCACGCCTCATGCGGACGACCATGGAGGTGGAATCAGAGAGGTGTCTAGCTCAGGCCGGATGGAATGAGAGGGTTATGTCATTTTGCTAGCTAGACTCAATTGCCTTGCAGGCCCGCCAGGAAGAGCTGCAGAAGGCGGAGACAGAGGCTCGGACCGTAGAATCAAACAAGATCAACTGAAGAAAGCTGTGGCTTCGGTTGCTAAGGCTTCTGCTGCATCCGGAAGGGTGCAGAGGCTAGAGAGAATGGGAGGATCCTTGATAAATGCAGCTCCTGTTTGTTTCATTGGCAGGAGGAGCTCCAGCTTCAAAAGCATGCCCTCTCGGAGATGCAGGCTGCTGTTATAGTTCAGGGCAGCAAGGCAGCAACACGAAGATGTGCACCTGGCCCTTGTTCTCTGCTTTGCAAGGATAAGCTGCAACGAGAAGAAGTTGCAAAATTGAGAGCGGAGGCCATCTTCGATTCACTCAGAAACTCCTCTTACTGCTTGTTTCCTGCAGGCAGACGGCAAAGAACGGGCACTGGAAGCTCATCAGGTCAGACAAGCGTACAAGCGATGCCCGCCAAAATTCTGTGTCGCGCTTGGCAGGCGAGACTTGAAGCAGAGCAAAAGAAGGACAGGAGCATCAGATTTTGGTACGGGAAGGCTGGGTGCACTCGCGACTTGATTGGTCACTGCAGCAACGACAGCAGAAGATTCTTGCAGGCTGAAGCAGAGCAAGCGCAGCGAGATGAGCAGGCTGCGCAGAAGCAACGACAACTCTCGCTTGTTTGAACACACTCACACACACACACACACCCCACACCCGCACTAAGTCTCTAAGTCTGAGACAATTGGTTTGATAAAGGGGCAGCGACGAATGGTTTTCTTGGAAAGTGATAAGGCCATGCCAGCAATACACCCCCAAACCCTAAACCCAAACCGTGTTGCAGGCTGCGCTACGTGTTGACCTAGATGCATTGCAGGAGCAGGCAAGTGGTCACTGGTCAAAACAATCCATTCACCAAGTCTCAGACTTTCGATCCAGGACCAGAAGCGACGTCGCCAGGCGGATGGCCTGCATGAGGAGCTGCGCAGATTAGATTGGAATGTCGCCTTCGATTGTGTCTGCTGCTCAGGATTATCAGGAACTGCTGACTTCAAGGGCACAGGACACAAACATGCCGTTTTCTTGGCACTGACAGATTGAGGAGCTTCGTCGGTACCTGGAATCAGATGCCCAGCTTCGGCAAGAGCTTGCTGCTCGTGAGGCTTGGCACGTTGTCGCGACAGTCTGCCAAGGCTACGTGTTGGCTATAAGTTTCTTGCGTTTGCCAAACAGGCGGCCATGCGTGCTGCTGAGGACAGTGGCATTTCGAGCGCTTTTGTTCCCATCAAAAACCAAAGCTCTGAACACTGAGGAGAGCGCTGCCAGCAGTCACCAGATGCTGTGCTCCTACGAGGACAACGGAATGCCGAGTGGTTCCTTTGGGGCGCATCAGGAACGAACCATTAAGAACTAACTCATTGTCATCAGGATGAAGCTGAGCAGCAACTGCAGGGGTACAAGGACTGACAAGTTCAAGTCTACTACAGCAGAAGTTGAGATTCTGCACATGCTGGGAGGACCAGGTGTTGCACCTCGAGATGCTTGCAGCCCATCAGGCACCATGTACTTCTGTTTGAGGTCTGATTGAGCTCACTTCTGAAGCCCTTGTCTCTGTACTCTGGCTGTACTCTGGACTTAGTGCCAGGCGGTGGCGAGCTCGCCGAGCAAGGACGTTCAGGCACACACACACACACACACACACACACACCTGCTAGCTTGTATTGAAACTGCTGAGAGCTGACAAAACATGAAGTTTGACTGTAGATGGCAGCGGACGAGCCCAAGAAACCCGAGGCGTCCGTCCTTCACTTCCCTCCCTCCCTCCTCTCTCCATCGCTCATTCACTCATTGGCAGGCAGAAAGCCCCGAGATGGAGCCGACCGAGGTGGCCACCAGCCCGGCAGACGAGCCGCGACGGAGGCCCTTGCGCAACGTTCAACATACGTGCAGCTTGATACTAACTACTCATGTGACGCAGGTGATCTGCGCACTGAGCGATCGCACACCCTGCTGCTCTGAAAAAGCGTGAGTGATCCTGCTTCAATGCATTGACTGAACACGACCTCCTGCACTGAGCATGGTACGCATCCTTTGAACATGATCACGGATACTTCTCAATGTAAGGTCTGCACTGCGTCTACACGAACCTGTGGAGGCCGAACTTACAGCCTTTTTTCGGGCGTCCTGCTTTGGGAACAATTTATTTTGGGGGCTCTATGCCAGTATCGTCTATAGTGCATCCGCAGAGTGATAAGAGTATGTGGCGACCCTGAGGTGCTGCGATAGCACCTGCTGCTAACTCGAGCTGTTTCTTCAGCGCTCCTGTCTGACTGCATCTTTGTCGCCTGGTGCTATCGCAGCACTTTCAATCTGTCTTGCCAGAGCTATCGCAGCCCTGTGTTTTTTCCTTGGCAGTGCTATCGCAGCACTTTTGTCTTTGTCAGTGCTATCGCAGCACTGCATCCCTGTTTTCCGTGCTATCGCAGCACTTCTTGACCATGTGGCATTTCTTGATGTGCTATCGCAGCATGTCTTCGCCATGTGGACCTGGATGAAGCCACACCTCTTTCCTGCGGGGCCCTGACAGAAACACGGGTTTCGGGTTCAGGAGTGTCAGGGTACTTGTCTGGGGTTTAAGACTTCACGACTTCGGTTTGCGGGCGCGGAAATTTACCATGCAGGGGGGCTTGAATTGAGAGGTTGGGCTTCGAGGTCTTGGGTCGAGGTGCAAGACTCTACGGCTTCGGCTTTTGGATTTGGGACTTAAAGGACCCAAGGGTCAATACGCTATCGTCGTGGCTCACCCCAATCCCAAAAGCACACCGGAATCCCCAAAAAAAACCTCGAACACAACCTCAAGACTACGCTTTCCTGAACCCTGAAAACCAACCTGAGGAAAGCCAGACACCCTTCGCATGTGCTTGCAAAGCGCAAGCAGACATCTCTCGCGATTGAGGAATATGTTGTTGTGTTTTGCTCAAACATACATGGCACACACACAAAGAAAAAACATACAGGACGATGTTTCTTGAAACCCAGATACTTTTTTCTTTTGCCAGCGGAGGCGATGAACCCAAACCCTTTTGCTTTGCTATGTTCTGTTTCTGAAAAGGATGTGGCAAATCTTCTTGTGTTGCGCGAAAACCAAAGGGTAGAAAAATACCAAACTGCAGATAGGAAAGAACAGGACCGATGCAATGAACGGAAACTACAATGCTTTTTTGGTCCCGTGTTTCTTTTTTTCCCCGACGACTCGCAAGCCCAGAGTTCAGGCAAGCAAGTGGGTGAAACCGATCATGTCTCATCGTCCCACCACCCCGTGTCCACCACTCGGCCACTCACGCTTAAGGCTTAAGCACCAGCCAGTCTTGGCGTACTCAGCTGCTGCGGCCTTCGTGGCCTTTCCCCGCCTTGAGGTACAGCTCTCACAGTCGCTGCCCAGCAGCTTGCGTTCAGCGGCGGCTCTCCTCAGCCCCTGCCGCTTCATAAAGAGATCTGTGCCCTTGTAAGCATCCACCAGGCGCCTCACCTGGCTCTTGCGAATGATCTTTTATTTGGCCATCCTCTTCGCCTGAGCCTGCAGCGCTCCAGCCAGCGCTGCCCCAAGGATCTTGCTTCGGCCCATCACGGGCCCTTCCGAACCCTGGGCTCCAGAGCCTTTTTCTGGGCTTTTTGGTGGGTCCCGAGACGGGGTCCCACCACCGCCCTTCTTGCCGCTCTCCTTTCCACCCTTCCTCTGCTCCCGGGCAACCTGCCAGCCGTCGTTACGCCATGGCGCTGTCCGGATAGCCTCGGTATACCCTTGCTGAGTGCTTAGGCTTGGCTCGCCTCCGCGCAGGCTCCCCCGCCGGCTCGGCAGGCCGGTCGGTGCCCTTTTTGCCAGACACTTGGCCTTTGGCTTGCCTCTGGCTTTGCTGCGGCCTTGACCCTGGCGGTCCCCGAAGCGGGTCCCGCACTGCCGCTCGCAGCTTCCTCTTTTCTCCTTTTCCTGGCCGCCTCCCTGCGGCGCTTGCCCGCGCGCTCTCCCGGAGTCTTGGGCTTCTCGCGCCAACTCCGACTGCGCTCTTCCGGGACGTCGTCCCCAGCACCTTCTTGGCGAAGGTTTTCCCTAGCTCGTTTGTTTAAGGGCCTTGCCTCCCGCTCGGTGTTCTCCGGCATCAGCGGAAAAGCCGCTCTCTTGCCGTCGTCTCCCCGAAGTGGCTTGTTGTACCTCTTCTGCCACTCTTCGTCTAGCGAGACCCTTTCGCGAGCCCTTGTCTGTGCTTGGCCGCACGCTGGCGACTAAGCTCCTTTCTCTTGGCTAGCTTTGCCTTGCGCCCTGCGCGGACGTCTGCCAAGAAACGAGCCGACGTCTTCCAACTCCCAGCGGAAGTCGTCCGGGCAGCCCTCCTCTTAGCCACAAGCTCCTTCAGCTGCCGGGTGACCTCCTCGAGCTGAGCCTCCAGGTTGGCCCTCTCCTCGTCACCCTCAGCACTGGCCAGGGCCCTGTTGAGCTCGGCCTGTCGAGCCTGCAGCTCGGACACCAGGTTGCTCTCAAGGAGTCGCAGCCCAACCCCCGTCATGGAGGATGTGCCGCCGGCTGCCTTTGCCCTGGCACTGGCCCTTGCCCGGCCTCCTTCTGGCGGGTCTCGAGACGATCCCGCGCCAGAGTCGGGATGCCAGCTGTCCCAGTCGTCGTCGCCCTCTGGGCTGTTTCTCTTCCTTTCCTCTTTCTTCTCTTTTTCCTTCTCCTCTTTGCCTTCCGGCTTCTTTGGCTTCTTGTTTCCCTTTCCCGGGTCCTCTCCTTCACCCTCGAGCATCCCTATGAAGCCCACCTCGGCTTCGTAGTCTTCCTCCTGCTCGGGTTCCTCGTTGTCCGGCTCTTCCTCTTCGCCTTCAAGTTCGCGGGCGTGCCCGCCCCTGTTGCCCTTCCCGCCGCGGCCCCTACCTTGAGCCTTACCCTTCGGCGGGTTTCCTGCACTACCTCTGCCTCCTGGGGTGGGGTTCTTGGGGTTACCACCGGGACCACTAGAACCACCTCCTGCATCCTTGTTCTTCCTTATGTCAATCGGGCTCCTGCAGTCCTTCAAGAGATGCCCCACTTTGCCACACTTGTGGCATTTGCGGGTCTCCTTGTCCTTTCCTTTTCCCTTTCCTTGCCCCTTCCCCTTGGCATAGTCGATCTCCATGGGCATTGCGCCGGAGTCATCCACAGTGAATGCCCGACGGTTCTCGGCGAAGGTCACGATCTCCCTCCGTAGAAGGTCGTACGAGTTGAGCCGTGGAAGGTTGAGCTCCAGGTGTGACTGCAGCTCAGCGGGAACCAGCCCCAACAACGAAACCATCTTCTTGCGCTCGGTCAGCGCCGTGCAGTCCCGACGGGCAGCATGCCTCCGATGCTGGTCCTCCCATCTCTCCACTGCAGCGATCAAGTCGCTCACTTCTGCAACCGGTTTCGTCGACATAAGCTGTCGCAGCCACCTAAAGCTGGTAACCATGTCAGTCGGGTCCAATCTCCCATGGAGCCGCCGATACATGTCCAGTCCGGACCCTGCGCTCGAGTTCATCGTGATGTCCCCTGGGGTGTCCACAGTCAAAGTACCCAGGACCACCTCCAGTTGCCGATTGAACTCCTGGACCTTCTCCGGAGTCACTCCTTCCACCAGCTGTTCCCTCAGCCTGGTAACGGTGATCTCCTCATCCTGGGTCCGAGCCCAAGTCAGGATTGCCCGGGTTTCCGGAAACTGGCTTGTGAGCCAAAGCTCCAACCGGTAGTTCCACTGGCGCCATGCACGCGAGGCTTCCTCCAGTGTTCCTCCTAGCTTCTCAGGTCGGCCAATAGCCTTTGTATCCACCACGGTTCCTCGTGGCCTCTGGTTCTGCTCTAGCAACCTCTGGAGTTGTCCCATCTGCTCTTGCTGCGTCTGCAGCAGCCTCATCAGGAGCTGCTCCCCCGTTTGCCCTTCTACCGCCATTGCTTCTCTTTCCTAGGCAAGTCCCGAACCGGGTCTTACCTTCCAAAGATCCGCGTGCGTCGCCGAGCAACGCCGCCAAGGACCCTCGAGATCCTATCCAGCAATCCCGGCGGGAAGTCCTGAAGCCTAAGCCCCAGATTGTGGAACAACCTTTGGTACTTGCGTACCTTCCGCAATTTGGCCAGTAGCCGAACCCAATTCCTCTGTGCGCGCTCTGGATCGTGTATGAACCTTCTCCCCTCACTTCGAGGCCGTGCCCTTCTACCACAAGCGGCATGCAAGAGAAGTGTCAGCACCATCAACCAGGTGCTCCGCTACCATGAAACGCTATTTTAGCAACCGCGCACTTGAGCCAAAAGATAACGTCAGTGTGAAACAACTGTACATGAGACCCATACCCAAACTATACCCCAAATCCAGTCAAAAACACAAAACCCCTTAACCCTAAAACCCTAACCCCTCAACCCCTCAACCCTCAGCCCCTAAAAACTAAACCCTGTACCCTAAACCCTAAACCCCAAAAATGCCCATTTCGGCCCTCAACATCTGCTCAGCCGCCAAGGCACTGTGAGTCCATGCAGAAGCCATTCCCGAGAAGCTCGAAGCCCGGGCCCGGGCTTCCCATCCTCGGCTTCCGATAGACGAGATACGATGTACTATGTACTCTATGTATATAATATAGTATGTATGTATGTATGGATGTATATATATATATATATATATATACATTCTATATACATGTATATACACATGGAGTGTATGTGTGTATATATATATATATATATATATATATGTACTACACATGCTGTATACATATACATATATATATATATATACACACACATCTACATATTCTTCAACGTGTTCTTGAAGATTCGTCTTTGCCTGATCTTCCTTTGTTGTCTGAAAGGTCCTGCACTTCAGGGCCAAGGCTCGGAGCTCCCCGCGAAGATCCAGCAAAGCGGCTGCTGTCGAGACTGCTTGTGGAAGGAAGTCTGCAGATTACTACTAGTATAGAGGCCTAAATAATTTCCAAAACTATGTTTGAGGTTCCTTAGAATGGGCCCCAAAACCCTATTCTAAGTATGAAGGCCTCAATATTAAGGGCTGGGGTTGGGTGCGGTGAGTAGTGCTTCCTTAATCTGCGGATGGGGCGTGAGAACTTCAGACTTCAGATACTTCATGGTCGGGTCGCTGAGAGTATAGGTTCTGCTCTGCTGGTCATGGCGAAATAACCTGCCACTTCGTCTGTGGGTCTCTTGTGGACGGCTGCGGTTGGTGACGCTTCGCGACTCCGTGGAATCTTGAAAGTGCAGCCAGTGTCAGCTTCATCCAATTGCCGGGCGAGAAGCTTGAGAAGGGATGAAAGTTGCAGTAGAAACCCGCGAAGTCTTCTAAATTCAGGTTGCTGCCATCACCCTTGCTCAAGAAGCCCCGATCCAGCCGACGGTTCGGCCAGCCTAATCTCCGGATTCAGATCCAGACATGTTTTGCTTTAGCTGGTTTAGATGAACAAAACGCACTCGAATCACCCTGCCACCTGAGGCTAGCTAGACCTTCACACATGCGAGGCTACTGGTACGCCTTGCACTGGTGTAGCCGGGCCAAAGCAAAGCAACAGAGGATCCCAACACATGCCCACAATGAAGGTCAAAGCGCCGAACAAGGAGCGGCTTGTGTTCATGACTGCTGCGGCCTCTGGAGGTGCTCAGGACGTCTGGACGACGACTTAATTGGATGCCAGTCCCTTTTTCAACTCGCTTTGCCGGTACGGAGCAGATACAACTCTGCGAGAGCTGTGTCGCTCATTTAAGCTACTCACTAGAGACGCGAGCCTGGCGCTTGACACGAAACCTGCATCGCTGCCTATCACTGGCAAACGGATCTCACCAAGGCCAACGCTCTTCATTTCTTGATCGTGCCCTTCAGCACGACGGTGCCCTCGGCCCCCACGGCAGAATCTTTCCGTGTTGCAAGGACATGGGCACACTGTGCTCCAACGAATGCCTCGTCAAGGCCATACTTCTTGATGACCTGCCGGCAGACGATCAAAGGCGGATGGGAAGAGCCGTGACAGCCGTTTGACCCTTCCGCAAGCTTTGATGCAGATCTCTGCACCTTGCGGTCGTGGAGCATGTCGAACCTTCAGCACGCAACAAGCAAACGGCCAAATCGGGTGCAGATTGCCTGTGTGCTTGGACAACCCCTCTCGCACGCACACACACACACACAGTCGATTTCCCGCAAAGTCTTCTAAGGCAAACGAAGTCACTCCTCTGTGGCGTCCTTGCCAGCGAACATCATGATCGATTTCCTGCCACCGGGATGTTCGGAGAGAAAGGCGGTCACGTCCAACACCTCAGCTGAGGCGATGTCACCTCCCCTCCCTGACCACCTTCAAGACAATTCCTGGCCTGATCGCCAACGATCACCCAGCAGTCGCTGTCCTCCGACGCGAACATATCTGCATGCCCAATCCCAGAACATCCCGGAACCGACATCTGGTTCCCTGGGACACACGTCACCGTCCTTGTTGTGCTTGGCAACCTCCTCTGCGGACACGGACATGGCGAAATGCAGCAAGGAGCGGCGCGGAACGGAAGAGGGCGAGAGAACTCGACTGCTTCCAAATCGGCAGCATGGAGCTGGCTACTGCTATCTTGACGCTGCTCCCCAGGCTAGGCTACGCGCAGCTCGGAGAATGGGCTTTGCACATGCAATCGATGTTTTGGCGGTCAGGTCGTGCAGGTTCGTCTCCACACGAGCACCCCTGCTACCTGCTGGAAATTCTTGTAATAAGCATTCAAACATGTTGCATCAACTGTACCAGCCTGTGCGTTCACTGGGCTGGTGCGAGTATACAGAAGATAGCATCTTCAGCTGCATGTTGCTGTACACATACCAAGCAGCCGTGGGAGCTCTGCAAAAGAGCACCCTCAGCAGACTGCCCGCAGCCAAAGGGACATCCTTCCAGTAAGCCCGCCGACAGCCTCGCTATGCCTGCACTCGGCGGGGCCATGCAAAGCATTGGGTCCAAGCCACCGTGGTGCTTCCTGTTACCTCAGGATCTCGCCGATCACTTCTTGATCGTGCCCTTCAGCACGACGGTGCCCTCGGCCCCGACAGCAGATTCCCCCGTGGTGCAAGGACGTGGGCACACTATGCTCCAACGAATGCCTCGTCAAGGCCATACTTCTTGATGACCTGCCGGCAGACGATCAAAGGCGGATGGGAAGAGCCGTAACAGCCGTTTGACCCTTCCGCAAGCTTCGACGCAGCTCTCTGCACCTTGCGGTCGTGGAGCATGTCGAACCTTCAGCACGCAACAATCAAACGACCAAACCGGATGCAGATTACATTGTGCTTGGGCAACCCCTCTCGCACGCACACACACACACACACACATACACACACACAGTCGATTTCCCGCAAAGTCTTCTAAGGCAGACGAAGTAACTCCTCTGTGGCGTCCTTGCCAGCGAACATCATGATCGATTTCTTGCCACCGGGATGTTCGGAGAGAAAGGCGGTCACGTCCAACACCTCAGCTGAGGTGATGTTACCTCCCCTCCTTGGCGACCTTCAAGACAATTCCTGGCCTGATCGCCAACGATCACCCAGCAGTCGCTGTCCTCCGACGCGAACATATCTGCATGCCCAATCCCAGAACATCCCAGAACCGACATCTGGTTCCCTGGGACACACGTCACCGTCCTTGTTGTGCTTGGCAACCTCCTCTGCGGACAGGGACATGGCGAAATGCAGCGAAGGAGCGGCGAAGGAGCGGCGCGGAGAGGAAGAGGGCGAGAGAGCTCGACTGTTTGCGAAACGGCTGAGAAGGATAAGCTGGTGCCACGTGCCCACTGCATGCGTTTGCAGAGCTCAGGAACAGAGAGGCAGTGGCGCCGACCAAAGACACGGTCTCTGCAACGATGGCTGACGCTGATGTGGATGGATCACATGTTCATTGCAATCGGTGGCTCCAAAGCGAAGAGGTCATGCTCAACGAGACCACGAATCAGTCAAACGCTCCCACGGGACAACCTAGAGAACAGGTCCTACCTGAACAGCTCATGCCGTTTGAGGCAGTTTTGGAACTCGCTTTGCCGGTATGGAGCAGATACAACTCTACGGGAGTTCTGCTCTCAGTAAGACTGCTAACTCGCAGAGCGATCCTGGCGCTTCACACGAACTCTGCATCGATGCCTATCACTGGCAATCGGATCTTACCAAGGCCCGCGCCGATCACTTCTTGATCGTGCCCTTCAGCACGACGGTGCCCTCGCCCCCGACAGCAGATTCCCCCGTGGTGCAAGGACGTGGGCACACTATGCTCCAACCAATGCCTCGTCAAGGCCATACTTCTTGATGACCTGCCGGCAGACGATCAAAGGCGGATGGGAAGAGCCGTATCAACCGCTGGACCCTTCCGCAAGCTTCGACGCAATCTCTGCACCTTGCGGTCGTGGAGCATGTCGAACCTTCAGCACGCAACAAGCAAACGACCAAGCCGGATGCAGATTGCCCTTGTGCTTGGGCAACCCCTCTCGCACGCACACACACACAGTCGATTTCCCGCAAAGTCTTCTAAGGCAGACGAAGTAACTCCTCTGTGGCGTCCTTGCCAGCGAACATCATGATCGATTTCTTGCCACCGGGATGTTCGGAGAGAAAGGCGGTCACGTCCAACACCTCAGCTGAGGCGATGTCACCTCCCCTCCCTGACGACCTTCAAGACAATTCCTGGCCTGATCGCCAACGATCACCCAGCAGTCGCTGTCCTCCGATGCGGACATGTCTGCATGACCAATCCCAGAGATTCACAGAACCGACATTCTGGTTCCCTGAGACACACGTCACCGTCCTTGTTGTGCTTGGCAACCTCCTCTGCGGACACGGACATGGCGAAATGCAGCGACGGCGCGGAAGGGAAGAGGGCGAGAGAGCTCGACTGTTTCCAAACGGCGGAGAAGGATAAGCTGGTGCCACGTGACCGGTGCATGTGTTTGCAGAGCTCAGAAACAGAGAGGCATTGGCGCCGACCAAAGACACGGTCTCTGCAACGATGGCTGACGCTGATGTGGATGGATCACATGTTCGTTGCGATCGAAGAGGTCATGCTGAACGAGACCACGAACCAGTCAAACGCTCCCACGGGACAACCTAGAGAACAGGTCCTACCTGAACAGCTCATGCCGTTTGAGGCAGTTTTGGAACTCGCTTTGCCGGTATGGAGCAGATACAACTCTACGGGAGTTCTGCTCTCAGTAAGACTGCTAACTCGCAGAGCGATCCTGGCGCTTCACACGAACTCTGCATCGCTGCCTATCACTGGCAATCGGATCTTACCAAGGCCCGCGCCGATCACTTCTTGATCGTGCCCTTCAGCACGACGGTGCCCTCGCCCCCGACAGCAGATTCCCCCGTGGTGCAAGGACGTGGGCACACTATGCTCCAACCAATGCCTCGTCAAGGCCATACTTCTTGATGACCTGCCGGCAGACGATCAAAGGCGGATGGGAAGAGCCGTATCAACCGCTGGACCCTTCCGCAAGCTTCGACGCAATCTCTGCACCTTGCGGTCGTGGAGCATGTCGAACCTTCAGCACGCAACAAGCAAACGACCAAACCGGATGCAGATTGCCCTTGTGCTTGGGCAACCCCTCTCGCACACACACACACACACACACACACACACACACAGTCGATTTCCCGCAAAGTCTTCTAAGGCAAACGAAGTCACTCCTCTGTGGCGTCCTTGCCAGCGAACATCATGATCGATTTCTTGCCACCGGGATGTTCGGAGAGAAAGGCGGTCACGTCCAACACCTCAGCTGAGGCGATGTCACCTCCCCTCCCTGACCACCTTCAAGACAATTCCTGGCCTGATCGCCAACGATCACCCAGCAGTCGCTGTCCTCCGATGCGGACATGTCTGCATGACCAATCCCAGAGATTCACAGAACCGACATTCTGGTTCCCTGAGACACACGTCACCGTCCTTGTTGTGCTTGGCAACCTCCTCTGCGGACACGGACATGGCGAAATGCAGCGACGGCGCGGAAGGGAAGAGGGCGAGAGAGCTCGACTGTTTGCCAAACGGCTGAGAAGGATAAGCTGGTGCCACGTGCCCACTGCATGCGTTTGCAGAGCTCAGGAACAGAGAGGCAGTGGCGCCGACCAAAGACACGGTCTCTGCAACGATGGCTGACGCTGATGTGGATGGATCACATGTTCATTGCAAGCGGTGGCTCCAAAGCGAAGAGGTCATGCTCAACGGGACCACGAATCACGGGACAACCTAGAGAACAGGTCCTACCTGAACAGCTCATGCCGTTTGAGGCAGTTTTGGAACTCGCTTTGCCGGTATGGAGCAGATACAACTCTACGGGAGTTCTGCTCTCAGTTGCTAACTCGCAGAGCGATCCTGGCGCTTCACACGAACTCTGCATCGATGCCTATCACTGGCAATCGGATCTTACCAAGGCCCGCGCCGATCACTTCTTGATCGTGCCCTTCAGCACGACGGTGCCCTCGGCCCCGACAGCAGATTCCCCCGTGGTGCAAGGACGTGGGCACACTATGCTCCAACGAATGCCTCGTCAAGGCCATACTTCTTGATGACCTGCCGGCAGACGATCAAAGGCGAATGGGAAGAGCCGTATCAGCCGTTTGACCCTTCCGCAAGCTTCGACGCAATCTCTGCACCTTGCGGTCGTGGAGCATGTCGAACCTTCAGCACGCAACAAGCAAACGACCAAACCGGATGCAGACTACATTGTGCTTGGGCAACCCCTCTCGCACGCACACACACACACACACACACTCACTCGAACACCCAGGCGTCCCTGGTAGAATGTTCATTCGTGGTCAATCTCACTCATCACTGAGTTCAAGACTCCGATGAGAACCTTCAAAGAAAATGTTGTGTGGGGCCTTCAATGGTCTGTGGTTGCCTTGCTGCGATTTAATACCCAAAAAAGCCAAGGAGCACCTGTTGCCTGATACCTGGATCTCGCTCTTAACTGCCGACGAATAATCTGGAAGCACTGTACAGCGAATATGTGAAGGATGAAACATTGCACCGCTTGTAGGATTGAGGACGTCACAAGCTGCAGGTACGTCGACTTGGCGTCCCAAGTCGATTTCACAGGAGAGCAGAAAGGTCTTCGTTGGTGCCAGCCTTCTGCAATCCCCTGGCACCCCATGCATGAATGTCACTTGCGAGCTCTAACCTCAACATGTCGCTGTCCCACACACAGTGACCTCCGTTGGAGGGGCTGCGGACTCTGCTTTTTCACCGTTGTTGCCGCACTTCTCTGTCTGAAACTGTTCGAAGGAAGAGCACCGGCTTTGGTGTTGCCATCGATGTAAACAGGATCCCAATCATGTAGTCGTCGTCGATTTTGCTCGAAGAAAAAAGCTGAGATTTCTGGTACCTTGCCGGTGATCTCTTTGATGCGGTAGGAGAATATTTTCCACGCTTGTAGGACAGTATCTCCAAGACATAGCACCCCATGCAGAAACATGTGCTTTTCTCTGGTGATGCGGTCTGGTGGTTTCTCAACTGTCATCCGAAAGCACTGGCTTCTCATAGAGTACCACGGAAGTCCAGCTTCTCCCGCTTTTCGTTTCGGCATGGCTGGTTGTCAACTGAGGAGTCTACTACCAAACAACCTAAAAATGGAACCAAAAGTTTGCTGTATCCACGTGTTTCTGAATTGAAGGCGTTCTCGCACACAAGCTTGAGGGTATGCATTCGGCCCGCATGCTTTTTGTAGGCGCCTCCTGTCTGCGTGTGTTAGTCTTCGTGAAACCAACATAGGTGTCGCCCTTGTCGTTGATGGTGGTCTTCTGAGCTCTGCGACAAGGATGTATGAGAGCAGTATAAGATCACGTGGTCGGGATTGCTACGATGCTCTGCTTCACAGTGCTGACAATTGCATGTGCAGTTAACGCCACCGAACATGTAGCGTGCCTCTCGCCCAATTTTCCGTATGACATACTCGGCGAGCTCCAATAGTTGCACCATGCTGAGTTGGTTGACTATCTGATACATGGTGTCAAGCTGCGTGGGACCTGCTTGCCCGGGTACTTCTTCACGGCTTTCTCCATCCCATGTGCGGCGTCCCCGGCGCATTCTGCTAATTAGCTGGACACTCTGGAGGAGGGAGCGGCGTTATGCTTAGTTACAGACAGAAAGCTTAAACCACAACCGAAACAAAGCATCATGGGTTGACTGCGGTGCGAGCGGCTCGGACTTTTTGCATCATCGGTGGGTCGTAATGCTTCTAGTCTGCGTGATACCAACATAGGTGACTCCCATGCCAAATATGATTTTCTTCCGAGCTTTGCGAGTACGAGGTGTGGGCGCATGCTTGGACGGCATAGTTGGGATCGCAGTAGTTCGCGGCTTCACATTGCTGACACGGAATAGTGCATCTGACTCCGCCGAATATGAAGCGGGTGGCATTCCGGAGTCTCCGCATCACATACTCAGCCAACTCCAGGAGCTGCGCAATGCTAAGTTGGTTGACCACCTGGTACATGTCGTTGAGCTGGGCTGTCGGTACATCTCTGCGGTGTCCTGCTTCTTCTGGGTACCATGTGCCGCGTTCACGTAGCATGTTGC